TTGTTTCTCTCTTGTATCGTCTCCCCCCTCTATCATGGTTTTCCCACTTAAGGTGCCCCCACTTCCCCCCCTTTCTTCCTTACTAATACCCTTGCTCCTATGATCCTACTTCTGTTGAACTGCTTCTTTCTCTTTATCCCCTATATGAGGAACCAGCTTATCATTTTTATGTTTAAAAAATCATCGTGTCTCTGTAAAGGTTATATTTTGAGACAGGTCTCAGACTCTATAGTGCAGGCTGGTCTTGAACTCACAGCAATCTTCTCCTGCAGCTTCCCAAGTGCTGGAATAAAAGGCCTGAGCCACCACACCAGGTTCCTTGTGTATCTTTGTATGTATGTATATAATCAGATAGTAAAAGGTGGAGAAGCATGCTAAATTCCTGCTGCTTGTGACATGGCCATGAAAGCACACATGAAGGATGTGTGAATAGTGGATGTGGAGGAAGAAACAGTGGTGGCCTTTTATTTCTTTGTACGCTTCTTTGTTCTAGAAATTCCTTTGCATTCAAAATGTGTTAGTTTTGTCATTTTTAACTTAAAAATGAGAGACTATCAGATACCACGTATTTTTGAAAGTTTTCAAGAGGAAACCTTGACAGGACTAGTGTATTTGTCACATTTATAATCAGTGTGACATGTGTGACGGTATGACAGGAACAGCTTCTGATGTGTGCTATGTGGTCTTAGGAAAAACACGTTTCTAAGTTCTAGTTTTCTTATATAGACAATGTAGATAATACCTGCATTACCTATTTTATTGTCTAACCATGGAGGAAAAGTGGAAAAGAAGTTTAAAAATGATAAAGCCCTATAAAAATGAGAAGACTGGTATTTTGTGTCAGCAAATGGCCCACTTCTTTTGAGCAATGGTCAAGAAATATCAAAATTCAGTTGCAAGTAGAGAATTTGCAATATCTCTTAGAAAGAACTCCTTTCCCAGCTAGGTTTTACATAGCAGCGGTGTAAGTATTTTACTTAAATGTTCCAGAGTGTTTTGAATTCAAATGAAATAGCCTGATGCAGATGGGTTTTAGCAGCACCATCAAATCATCTATTCCACTCATCTTAGGGAAATTCCTTAGCCGTGTTACATTAATCAGCAAGCTTTTCCACACTTAATGCACTGCGCCTACATTGTGCCTAGCAGTCCTCTGCGGAGAGGAGTCCAGACATCCAAGCTTGTCACAGTCAAGGTTTATATTGTCCACCTCCTGTAATTATGACTAATACTCTTTCCATTTCCCCAAAATATCATAATTGTAATGATCAGTTATTTTTGTCACCTTACAATGGTCACATATGAGACATGGAAGGAAACACGGGTACCCCCTGGTTGAAAAATACCATCCTTAAATTTTTCTTTCTCCATTTCACCTCTATACCAATGGAAATGCCAATGGCTTCTAGTGAAACCATGGTGAAAACCGTGGATCTATTGGAGAACTGGTGGATGTTCGGGTCAAGGCTTAACCAGGGCTGAGAGAGATGATGCGGGCCTCCAAAGGGCCACCCTACAAGGTGTCTTCCTGTATAAAATTTCCCTCTCATACTATTTTTCTTTATTACATTGATTAGTAGTCCTCTTGATCAGAGATGTATGTGGCGGACACAGGCAATCTATTACCAATAGTGTAAACAGGTTGGGAATTGTTCTTCCTCCTGTCATATGACTGAGACCTGCTTGTGTAAAGGGCATGTTTCTTGGAGGGATACAGATAGAAAGGACAAAGGAAATTTGGAGCATGAGGAATATGGGGAGTGAGTTTTCTTCTAATGGCAGCCTAGTAAGTCAGGGAAAGTGGGTGTCAGTATAGGAAACAGCTATTTGCAGAAAAATGTCTTGTGCACAATTCATGCCTTGAGGGGTAAATGCAATGCTTTCTCTCTGCCAGCTGTTGCTCCTTCTCTTCCTCCCCATTCTCTGTGGCCCAGCATTCAGAATTAAGCCAGTGCTTAACTATGTGTTTTATAGGTCTGGAAATAATATTCATGACATTACTTCTGCAAGAGTGTAGATTCTTAAGTACATTTTCGGTCATATCCTTTTGTAAGTTATAAACTTCTTGTATAAGAACTGGTATCTGTCCCTGTGAGAACTCTTAGCCATTGAATTTAGGTGAGATTCAGTTAAATTGGAAACTTCTGGGAACAGCTGAGTATCAACTATTCAGTACTGATTCCCTTTAAGTAAAAGGTATACAAAATGTGAATTAAGTTAGGAATTTCCCAGAGAGCTAGCATGTACATTTGTCAAAAATCTAAGAATATTCTTGGACAGCAAAAGGGAAGAGAAAATTCTAAGGAGTGACAGAAATCTCTGGAGCCAAGGTTTGACATGAACAAGTGGAAGGGTCAGGCCTGGTGGCTGTGAAATGGTTTTCTGAGGCGGGAGTGTTTTACATGGCTAAGATTCAAGTCCTAATAAGGACCAGATCATGGAGGGCTGAGCATCCCGATGAAAGCCTCTAGGCATACTGATAGTCTATGGAAGATGTTACTGTAAATGCGTTTTTCAGAGTGGGAGCTGCTGTGGTAGACTAGGGATGAAGAGTTGACTATCTGGACCACAGTGGAAGCACCAAACTGGAGAAGAGACAAATCTGAGAGTCACTGTAGAGATGGAAGTAGCAGGACCTAGAGACCATACGGAAAGAGCTGGGAAAGGCCCTTAGGTTTCTCATAGTAATTTCAGCATGAAAGAAACTCTATCAGAAGTTCATGTTCACATGAAAGCTTCTCATCTGTGCATTCTCCCATGCCCTACTAATGAACCCCTGATTTCCAAAGAAACCCCGAAGCATCTGTCAAGTAATTTAATTTTGCAAAAATTCAGGTTCATCTAATGGAAGACTTGAAACATTGATTTTTGCAAAATTACATTAGTAAGTGCCAAAATGTTTCCACCTTGGGAAACATAAAAATGGAATTCTACTACCAAGTTTGGTGGAGGGAAGTGACATTGTCAGTGCTTCATAAAAGTGACATGTCTAGAATTTGTTTCCCTAGGAATGAAGGCTTTTTCACTTTATTATCCCTGTGCTCTTATGCTGAACCTCAGCTACGCAGGAAAGCTTATAGCACCAATTTACTAACCTAATTTGTGAAAGGAGGTTAGTGAATCAATGCGCTAAGACTTTGATAGAAACATTAGAAATTAATTAGCCTTGTCAACTTTTATTTTGATAGGTTCTTTCCCAACTATATCTTCTCCCCTCCAAGTACAATTTTTAACAAGATTGGTTTTAAACAATGGGACCAAAGAGAATCTGTACAAAGAACTTGAAGAATTTAAATATGTGAGTTTATTATTAACGCAGTGGCAAATACATCAAGGGAACACACCCAGTAAAAAAGTGTTTCAAAGAAAAGCAAATCTACTCTGAGAAAGGTCTGTATCCAATAAGTAAGCCCTAAGAGGCCTATTTGCTTGGTGATGCCCAGAAGATAAGGCAGGCAAACCTCGGTGTGATTTGAAGAAGCCAGTTTGAGACCCAGCCTAGTTCAGGCAAGCTACAGACTGGCCCTTGCTGTTCTCAATGAATCTCACCATGACGGTGTTCGAAGTTTGGAAGGTCTTTCTGATTTTAAACTGCTTTGCAGGTAAGGAACAGATCTCTCAACCACCAACAGTAATTGGAAGTTAAGTGCTTTTAGACTGAAATTACAAATTTTTACGTAAAATCTTCCCGTGCACTGAGTAGTTTTCAGAACTCTTGCTTAGCAAATATGTGCCATGTTGGTGTTTGGGAGGTCAGTCTGGAGTAAAATTGTTTTACAGAGCTTCTGAAATGAATTTCTCAGAAAAAAAATAGTTTCTTTAGTTTGAAAGGTGAGCAAGTAAACTTACTCAGAAACCAAAGTTTATGCTCGGTATACATTTTTCTGTTTTATTAGCATTTCCTTTAAGCCGACTGTAGTTGACTTGCTTGACCTCAGTAATCAGAGCCAGCATTCAAGCCTACATGAGCATACGTGTGTAGAGAACAGAAGTTTCCTGAGAGCTTTATTACTGAAAATTTCTAAGGGAGTCTGGTTTTCCAATCCTAAGAATATATTTGGAAATTATATGAGCGATTTATTATTGTGCTCAGTATGGTTCGTTTTAATGATTCACACAGAACAAAATTATTTTCAGAGCCAAAAAAAAAATCCCAATGTTGGCTAAACTCAGGAGAGATAATTAATTTGGAAAGTTATTTTCTTTTCCTATTTTTTAAATACCAGATATATTTTGAATTTGTTTTTATGATAAATAAGATCTTTGGTAGATACAACAATGTTGTTTATCAACAAAGAGGAATTTTTAAAACCATGAATAATGTTAGGCAGTCATTATAATGTGATTTAATAAGAATATTTAAATGGTACATGAACATGTTGAGAACAAAATATATGAAAAGCCAAGATGCACAAACATAGCTATAATAGAAGGTAATATATTAATCATGGTTAGTTGTAGGTGATGGGATTAAAGATTTTGATTTGGGGGCTGGAGAGATGGCTCAGCAGTTAAGAGCACTTGCTGCTCTTCCAGTTTACCCAGGTTCAATTCCCAGCACCTACATGGCGGCTAACACCTATCCTTAACTCCTGTTCCAAGGGATCCAACACAGTCTTCCAACCTCCAGGAACACCTGCACACACACGGTGCACTTACATACATGCAGGCTAAACACTCATATATAATAAAAAATCTTAAACAAAAATATATTGATTTTTATTTCCCAGGTTTCCCATACTTTTCAGGTCTCCTAGAAACAACATTATATACACGCATGTATATAATATATTTGGCTGTGCTGGAGGTAAATCCTAGGGCCTGTTGTTTGCTAGGCAAGGACTCTACCACTTTACTTTTCTAGCTCCTATACTAATTTTATAATTAAGAAAAAGTGTTAATTTCAATGCTGTCTTGTGGTTTACAGAAAATTTTAAAATATTCATTATTAAATGTTTAAATGAAGATGTTATTTGTAGTCAAAACTCACCAGAAAGCATTAATGCATTCATCCCATGGCCTAGCTAGGACATAGAGTTGGAAATACATGTAACTCTGTTACTTAGCATTAGATATTTGTTTAAATTCAATTTTAGATAATGAGAATCTTTGTCCCTCCCTTCAACTATTAGCTAGTTGGGTCAAACCTTAGGTTTTCTGTACCAAAATTCTATGATCACACAGTCAACATTTTATTCTCTATTTGAGGCCCTACTGTGGTCTCTACTAGACACAGGGTTATAACAGGTGCATGAATGACTTTCATTATAAATAACACATATCTATTTTTTTACTCATTATATACATAATAGATCACTACTATAGTCCACTATAACAAATTTGAGAACATGGAAAATTGTAAATAAAAAATATATACTACCTACAATCTTACTACTTAGATTTGTGTGAATTATCAGGGTTTTTTTTCTTTGTAAGTATGTCTATTACATTAAAAACGGGGCCTATGCCTTGCACACCATTTTTATACAGTTTAAAAAATGATTTAGGATGATATTGGAATCTTACCTGAGAGTTTAGTACATGGCACTAGTGAAAAATAAATACTTGAGTAATTTTTCTTAAGTTGCTGTATATCTATGCATATATGGTCTAACTGGCTCAAAGCAAAATCTGGTAGTCAGCCGAACAGATGGAATGGAAGTAGGATAGAATATGTCATTTGCTGTCATTACATTCATATGGATGGTATAGAAAAGAAGATTTAGATATTCTATACCTGCCTTTCAAGAGATCCAGATCATTTCAGTGATCCAGAGCCATCAGTTGATCCAGATATGGCTGTTGGAAAATTGATGATGTTTCCATTAATGTACAATTTACTGCCCAACCTATACTTGTTTCCCAGTAAATGCCACTTTTTTGTATCAAGTATGGTGCCTAGAAGTTAGTGGAAACCTAGTAAATGTTTGTTGAAAGAATGGTTCACCAGTCCAAACCTCAAACGCCCAGAAATGATTTTATAATCACATTTAAAATCAATATTAAGGAAGATTTTATTTATTTTATTTTTACTATTTTTATTTTATGTATATGTCTGTATTGCCTGCGTGTATGTAAGTGCACCCATGTCAGGCTGTACCCATGGAAGTCAGAAGAGGGCATCAGATCCCCTGGAACTAGAGTTATGGACCACATGGGAATTGAATCTGGGTCCTCTGGAAGAGCAGCCAGTGCTCTTAATCTCTGAGTCATCTCTCTCCACCCCCCAGGGAAGACTTTATTTTAATCAAAATACTTTCAGTGACTTCTTAGGAGGCCTTATTTTCATTTCTATTTCAGCAAAACTAATTTCAGTCAAAAATCTCTTTTGCAAAAATATATACATATCATTTTAGTTACTTGTAATATGTATAAGTCACTTGTTGGAAAGATATGTTAACTTTGTTTTCATTTTGGGGTGTATTATGTATGCATTTGAAAGAAGTAATATATTTGAATGTTGGCTTTGAAGTCAAACACAAAAACTGGGTGTTCATTTGGTTGTTTTATGTTATTTTTTTTAACTCAAAATGAAACTGATTAAAACTAAATCACTTGGGGCAGGAGTGATGGCTCAGTGGTTAAGAACACTGACTGTTCTTGCAGAAGACCCAGGTTGGAATCCGAGCACCCACATGGCAGCTAGCAACTGTCTGTAACTCCAGTTCCAGGGGATTCTGACAGCCTCTTCTGTCCTCCGTGGGCATTGCACGACATGGGTGCACTTACCTAGGTGCAGGCAATACATGCATACACATAAAATAAAAAAAATAAATAAAATATTTAAAAAACTAAATCACTTGAAATGCACCGGTTAAATACGAATAATTGAACAATATTTTTGCTATGGCATAGAAATAAGATAATAATTAAATGCATTAAATGAATTATAATCATTACCAAAATCAAAAACATTTAAGATATTTTAAAATGTTGATTATTTTAAACATACACATCTTGGATTATTTTCCTCTAACAATAAGCACTTATTTTTACAAGAAGTCTCATGTATTTCAGTCACATGTGCAATTTTTCTTTGCTTATTAATTCAGTTAAATTAGTAAGAAAAATTATAATCTTGGGTTTTGTTTACACTAGGTATTAGTCTTTAGCTTGTTATTTATTCATTTAATGCATAGTGTGTTTTTCTGATTTTCACAATTTAAATTTTTTTTTAAATGATTTATTTAATAACAACATACTTAGAAGAAGCATATCATTACAACACAATTGACATATTCAATAACGTTTTCCTGAGGTAGGATGCATCTCTTTCAAATTTGGCTGTAAATTTTTAGGTTTACAGTTGAATTATTACAGTTATACAATATTGTACTCAGTATAAACCAACAACTACTTTTTAAAGTACCTTTCTATATAAGTCTTCATGTCATTTACAAGTCACAGATACATCAATAAAATCCATTGCAATTAGATTACTATAAAAGAACATCAATTGAAAAGTTTATTTTTAATACTGTGAATAA